GAGGCAAATCCAATTCCTAACTCCTCACAGGCACCTTTTTTCCTGCTCCACGGAACAGAGGAAAGTGGAATTTCTTCCACCTTTTCAAGGAGTTTTCACTCTTCCCAGGAGTGTGGGGTCCCCAAAGCCCAATTAGCTCAGGCTTTCCCTGTAATTTGGATGCACAGTTTAACTCTCATCTTCCTCCATCCTGGCAACCACTCTGTTTCTGGGGCTCTGAAGCCAGAGATGTCTGCCCCTGCTTCCTGATAACTCTGTCTCTAGACTTTTGTCCCACTCAGGGCACACTGGTCAGTTCTTAAACTCTTCAACCTGGCTTGGGGGTATTCAGGGAGCACCCACACTGAACACACCGATGAAACCCAAACATAGTACCAGCTCCCTTCTGAATGTGAGAATAACCCAGCCTCCAGGCAATAAGCATGCTCACCACCACCCCTAGCCTCTCCAAGGTCTGAGCTGTCTTTTTCCATCCCTCCCAGGCAGACAGTGCTCGGTCCTCGGTGCTCATGGAAACAATGGCGCTCCCTCTGGGTTGGCTCCTTAGGTCCCAGCGTGTGGGGAAGCATGCCCTGCAACCCAGCACTGAACAAAGTGGCTGGAAGCATCATCAATAAAATGGCAGCGCATCTGTACATTTCCTCCATCGATTTTCCTCTTGCATCTGCTCAGGCTTCCCAGGTCAGCCCTAACCCTCCATCCCCACCGGCAAACACTACTGACCTAGGAAATATTTCCCTTCTTCTCTACCCGTCCCCCACGCCTTCCATGAGGTCTTGCCCTCCAGCTCTGTGCTCCGCCACCATGGCCTGCGCCCGCCCGGCACTTCAGGACCCTCCCTCTGCTTGGGGCTGAGCTCCTGGGACTCCAGCCTGGCAGTGGACAAAGCCACCCCCATACTGGAGACTACTGGGCCCACCTAGTAGCTCCCAAGTATTCCTTTCTTTATAACCCTCAATTTTCCAGGGAATTAAACTCAGAGTCTGAGGTACTACTGGGAATCTTTCAAACGGTTTCGTTTCCAAAAGAGAAACAAAGGAAGAGAAAGGCTGAGGGTCCTGTCCATAATCCAGGGTCTCTTCGCCTGACCTTTGTCTCTCACAGCTATAACTCACTCTAGATATGAACAATCAACGGAAATACCTTAAAATAAATTCCATCCTCTCGGTGTAGCCTCCAGTCCCATCAGCTAGCTCTCCTAGAACCGCTCCATGAGCACTGAAAACTGCAACCCGCTGGAAGAGCACTCTCCGGAGAAGGGGAAGGAGAAGGAGGAGGTGGGTACGTGGGGGTGGGGGAAAAGCTCTCTCTCTCTCTGTAGAGAATCTAGAAAACGTAATCACAGGCTAAGCCTGCCTGGGTCTTCGCTCCAAATGCCACAATAATGTGCTGTATTATGTGCTCACGTGGTCATACGTCAACTTAAATCCTTTTATTTGAAATAGGGAATCACTGAAGGAACTAGGTTTCCAAGCCAAACATTTAGCTTTGGGGGAAGAGAAAAGGGGGACCTTGACCAGTAGTCAGTAAGTGTACTAAGTAGTAGGATGCTGGGGGCCACCCCCACTACATACACACAGACATGCCACACAAGGCGCTTATCTCCACTTATATTTCTTAAAACACATTCCAAACATGAGGGAACAGCAATGCTATCCATATTCTGAGAGTCCACTTAACTTTCCTTATGACCTTCCTACCACCGCAGACAAACTGAATTCAGCACTCCCAAGTCCCCTGTCTCCTCTGGCCCACAGGCCAGAATATGGAAGAGAGAAGCCTGAAAACAACTGGCCTATCATGACCAGTGGAGTTTGTAACACCCACAAAATGTACTATATCTACTTGAGACACGAAAAAAGGCCTATGATTACCTGACAAAATGTTAAAACTTCTTCTCCAAGTCCAGCCAGTTCTGTTCAATGGGCGCCTACTAGCAAAGATATGCTTTGCTTTAAAGCAGTGAGTCAAAGTTTTGAAAAATCTGGAGGACATAATGCCCTGGCCAAATCTGCACTTACACATTTACTCAGTGCATAGCTGAGTGTTACATAAAATTGTTAGAAGAAAAATGTAAGGGGAAATTATCTATATGCCTCTACAAGAGGGGTGGGGGGAAAGTACCAACCTTCACTGGGGTCCTTTGTGCTAACCTATAAGACAACTTGTGACCCTCTCTGCAGGAGGGTCTGTCTACCCTCCCCTAACACAACTCCATATCTATCAGCAGAAACTGAACTGAACCAATTCTGTTCTGGAAGAATCTGGTTAAAATAAATAAGCTGCACCCCAGGCTTTACCCCAACTTGTGCCTTTTGCTTGGTGACACTGCCCATTCATTTCAATACTTCAACCCTTCACAAGCTGTCAATAATAAGTTTCCCTTTTCTGGTCTTAGTTTCTGAACTTTGAGTGCTCTAAGGCCAGTGAGCTCCTCAAGCTATATTCTTTTGTTCCTTAAGAGTGTGTCTTAAGCTAGTTATCTCTAAGTCTTAGGACTCAATTGTAGCAGCTGCAGAATGCTCCCTTTCCTTCCTTCCTTGAAAGGGAACAGGAGTCTGATGAGAACATAACACCCTAGTAAGGGTGCCTGGTCATGGGGGTGTCCAAATCAGGCAGGCAATAAAAGACCTAAGCCCTTAGAAGCAAGCCCTGGACAAAGCTGGTGGCAGTATTGCCATAAGGTTCTGTTTGTGGTATAGCTGGAAGAGGACCTCTATGTGACCTTTCCCACATCTGACCTAAATCAGAAGCTGAAAAGTCAGAACCCAAAGTGAAAACTTGCCTCTCTCAGATTTGGGAGATGGGGAACAGGATCATGGTTGGTTTCCAAATGAATTCTCCTGTCCCCCAAGGACTTAGCCCATTCATTCTTGTGCCTCTTGCACCTTATGAACCTCCATTCATTCACATTGAACACTCTACCCTAGAAAGAACTTGGAAGTATTGCCCACTTGCTGACAACTTCCCCCACCTCAGTTTCTATAGAAGCATCTACCCACAGATGAAAAGGGGCCCCCTTTAGAACTCTCAGGAGAGTTTTGGACAAATTGAAACTTTTGAGGCCATAAATCAACGCCAGAAGGCACTGGTACTGCTTCAGAGAAATACCTTAATGCCAGCAGGGCCCAGAAGCATCTCAGCTCAATCCTAGAGCCTCTATGCAGTTACCATCCCAGTTAATAATCGAACTGCTGTTTAAAAATTAACATGAAGCACTTGAGATGCAGTGATTTGGTAGGATGAGAAGGGAAAAGGAAAGCCAAAGGAACTTAACTTTTGAGGTAAAAATGACACCCCCCACCCCTACAAGACAGATTTTGAGCTGGGCAATTCACAGAAGACCTAACAGCTGAGAGTCTTCCTTCACCACTCTGAATTCTGTTTTCCTGGAGCCAAGCTATAAGCCTTTTAAAAACTCAGCTACCAATCTCCCTCCACTCACCCCACTAGCCTCCAACTTGACCAGGCTGTGATCCAGGCCACCAGCCAAAATAGGAAGAAAGTTGGCTTGGAAGGAGCAGGCAACCAAGGATACAGACCCTTAGTCAATATTTGCAAGGCTGTTAGCAGATTAGCTATATCTATACTCAAATACTGCAATCTGATAACTCTATCAAAACTACACTCAACATTTTTGTTGACTCTATTGGTTTTGCCACTCAGCATCAGGTCTCAGCCCACTGAGTGTGTGTGTGTGTGTGTATGTGTGTGTGTAGATGATAGATTATTATTTAACATGAGATATTCCCTGTGGTCTCAACTGCAGTATAAATGGGCTCCAGATTCTCTGGATATGTGTATCATGTTATACACATGGCCCCAAACTCTTGCAGCTATTATACCTGCAATTGTTCTGTTGTTTGCAGAAATGCAAATCATGTATACACACCGAGTTGCAAGTTCCTAAAATGTTCCATCTATATTTGATATGAACAGATATACAGTTGCTGAGAAAATATTATTACTATTATTCTGTTGACTTCCTATCTGATAAAATAATAATTTTATCTAGAGCACCATACCACCACTGAATAGCATGTTGCAATTAATTTAACAAGTTGATATCTATCTGGGGAGCAAATTTTAGGGAGCACTTAGACCTAAGGAATAGAAAACAAAATTTCAAAAACTCTTTTAAAATAAGTAATTCCTGAAACAATAAAGCAAATTCATTTGTTCATACCAAGCTTCTGAAAGCTATTCCAGCAGCCCCTCCCCCAAACAGGCACATAATTTATGGATCTTTTACAAGGTAATAAACCACAGTAATTACCTCCCTGCATCCCAAACTAAGAGAACAAATTAAGTCAGAACTTGAAAAGAATTTTAAAGAGTTTTTCCTTGTTCCAAATAGGAAAAGAAAATGCTAGGATTAGAAAGTGATAGTTTTTCCTGTAGGAAGAACCGTGGGTCAGCCCTGATGAAAAGCTGAAGGAGATCCCGTTGGCTCCAAAGGCCTACACATTCAAATACAGCGACTTCTCTCACGGATAGGCAAAAGAATCAGTGAAACTGCAAGGCACTGAGACAAGTTTCCTCAACCGAGAGCTGGTATTTCCAAACTCACAGCGCTGGTGCTGGTATTTCCAAACTCACAGCCCCAGTGCAGCTGCCTCGGAAGAAAAGGGGAGCAGCCCACGCAGCCGCCGCCGCCGCGCCCATGGCCTCTACTTGCTTTTACCTTGCAGTTCCTCGTGTGGTTTACAGGAAGACACAAACACCCCCTCTGGCTCCCTCCACCCCATCTTTGGCTTCTGCAACCGCTCAACTCCTTCAGCTTATCTGCTGGCTTTAGGGCAGACTCTTTGTCTGCTTGAAGTCCCGCATTGTCGGGGCGTGCAGCTAAAGAGAAGCCAGCTCCCAAACTCTTCCAAAGTTAAATATTGACCAGAATCTCTTTCAACCAGCTGTAGTTGCCAGGAGCTGGGAAGGACAATCTCCTCCCAAATGCCTGGTGCAAAGTCCTGCTCTGGGAAGAGTTTTGGCAGAACGCTTACCTCCAAAGATGTTTAAATCTGAACCAGGAATTGCCTCCAACTCCAGGCGCTCAGGGAATCTCCTTTTCCGGTGTCCAGGCGGTCTGTGGACAAATAAACAGCAGAGGGTGAACGGTCGCTGCGAAGAAAGGGAGTCGGAAGATTGGAGTTGGAAATGCGGCCTGCGCGGGCGCCAGGGTGGCCCCGGGGGTGACGCCGACACGGAGGAGTCGCCAGGGCACTCGTCCATGCGACGCGTTCATAGCTCGAAATGTTCCAGTCTACAAATGGCCCGAAGATGGTGATTTATTTCTGTAAAATAAATACATACTCCATCTCCACATCCACACTCTCTCCTTTTTCTTTCTTTTTTGGGAGAGGAGGGAGAAGAAAATGAACAGAGAAGGAAGATAGGTGAAGAGGCTTTGCTGGTCGCATTGGTTCCTCTGGGAGAGCTCCTCAGGCACCCCGACTTGGGGAATGTGAATGCATGCTTTATTTTCTTTTGCTAACAAAGGGAAGCCTTGTCTGGAAGCATTCAATCACAGACTCTCCAGAAACCTCACTAATAGCGTTCATTTCTGTTGGCGCGAAATCAGACCCCAGCTCAGTCCACAAACCAGAGACAGTCTTGGGAGGTTTTGTCCTTAGGTTCATTCAAGTACTAGACCAGCCACTTCTTGGTTCTGGTGGGCTGGCAGGACTACCCAAGCACCCACTTCTCAGAGCCAAACACTTCTGCTGGAAATGGGCAAAGCCAGGGCACTGGGCAGTATTAATATTCCAGTATTAGGGCCTACTCCTGACCTGCCCTGCCCTGCCCTGCACAACAGCCACAAGCTGGCTCAACTCTGTAGTACTGCTTCAACCTCATTGGTAACAATATTTGCAACTCTCTTACACTTTTACCAGCAATCATGGGTTGTAGAGACCTCAGCCAACTTTCTGGGGTGAGAGTTGCTGGGGAAGGAGCAGAGAATCATCCCAGAGCTCTGGGCTCTGGCTGTGAGAAGTTCTACCCTCTACTAGGACTCTCCGCAGGGCATTTGCTTCTACAGCCCTAACCCTGAACCCATTCCTCTTTAATCCAGACCTAAATAACTTCCCACATTGCAGCTTGGTTAAAATTAGTCCTCCACTGTCTCCTACATCCATGTAATCCTGCTGAGAGCACTGAGAGGGACTACCAAATAGCAGACAAGCCTCCTGACCCTTGGCTTCACAGCCCACTAGCATGCTGAACAAGTAGCAGCAAACTGGCAGCTGCCTTCTGCCACTACTAGACTCACAGCCTTTACTCTTAGTCTGGTACTTGGGACTCAGAAACCATGCTGGGCCCCTTTCCCTTGTTCAAACTCTCACTGTTGCCCTCATTGGGACTGCCCTTGTCCTTAGGGCTCCTGTATGACCCTGGGCAGGGTGGAGTTCAGCCATCTTGCACTTTGCCACTCAACTTCACCCCAGAAAGAGATACGCTATGCCACAACTTACCACCACCACCCTGCTCCAGGCTTAGGAGTATTGCAATTATTATTATTACTGCTATTTCCTTATCCCCAAGTCTGATATTCATGGCTGTTGTTCCCCATAAATCTTTTAGACTAATAAGTCACAGAAATATGTTGCCTAGGTCTCTTGCTCTACAATGGCTGCCACCACTGCTGTGGCCCCTCTCTACGTTTTTGGCGTTGGCTTGCTCCCTAGCTTGCCCAGCGCGGGTGATTTATGAACGCCGGGAAAATTGAACAAAGCCGCGCGCCCGTCCTGTGGTATCTCTGCAGCCTTCCCCAGCGAGAATCAGAACATTACCAACTGTCTGCGCATCCGTCCCACTTCATCACGAAAGCCAGGATGTGACCGCAAAAAGCACAAGCCCGAACTCACGTTTCACCAGATGCAGTGTGCTCCCTGGACCCGCAGAAACCCTGAAGAAAAGAAAAGCCCCAGAACCCAGCAAGGGCCTGCCAGCTCTGGTTCTCCACGCTGAAGGGTTCTTTCCTGCCTTCCTGAAGGAGTTAAAAACCTTTGGAGATAAATTTGAGAGTTATGTATTTAAAAATCAAATAGGAAGTTGGAGTCTCACTTCTGAGAGATTCATTCCTAGTGAGGCCCTGACGACTCCGATCCATTCCTGATGATCTGCATTAATTATTTAATGAGTCACGTGATCTCAAAGATTACAATTTCAATATCTCCCTGGAACAGGCGCTACACCTTTATCAGCTGCAGCCAGGATCCTTGTTTGGCTTTTTTGCTCCCCAGGCTTCAGGAGTGCATTCACCCTTGCCCTGATCCAGCAAGTGACTGCCGAGGAAGTAACAAGGGAGAAAACGAAATTGGTTATTCTGCATTGTAGACAGTGGGGAACCCACTGCTCTCTCTGGCACCCTGACATCCATCACATCCTGAATCCAGCAGTCAACCACCTGTCTGATCACCAAGAGTAGGGCAGTTTGGTTACATAATATACCAGGGCAGCTTTGATAGTGCATCAGGCAAGAACTTACCTTCTTCCAGGCTATACACACCTGTGGCCTTGCACATCAAGTATAAGCCTAAATGTATACCTTCCATTCCTGGAAGAATAACCTCAGCAGAGGGGAAAATGCCTGTACTTACTCTCATCTTCCGTGAGAGCAAAGGCTCTACTCAACCTACCCACTCATTTACACAAGGAACATCAGGATGGGAGATTATTCAGCTGCCTCAGTTTCCTCATTTGTGTAAATTGAAAAGATTGATCAAAAATGGTCTCCAGGTCTCTTTCAATTCGAGATCTCTTTCATCTTCAAAAATCAATCCTAGAGAGAAAGGGGCTGCTTCATAAGTCTGGAACTTTCAGAAGAAGGATGCCAAGAGTTCCAAGCCAGAAGCTGCAGACTAGATTTCCTGACAGCCCCAGCCACCTCCCTGATGCTACCAAGGAGATAAACCACACATCTTCTCCTCCTTCTGTTGTTTCCAGCCCATACTCTTTGAGGTACAAAGCATTTTTTCTCCAGTGTGTAATATAGAGAAGGGTTGCCAGGAACAGCACTTGGAAAAGGTTGAACCTATGTTCTTCAACATAGGAGTGTGCCTAGGTATGTAGAGACCAAGCCTGGCTGAGGGTGGCCTATTTCGTACACAGAACCTATGCATCTGAATGGGGAGCTTCAGATTTCTATTGCATTTGTTCTTTGGGATTTTTCTTTCCTTCTATTTTAAAGAGTCCCTGATCTATTTCTGTGTTGGAACTGTTAGAAAATAGCCATCAGTGACAAGAACAACAGATTTGGAAGCTCAGGGGAACAGGTGGATGCAGGAGAGATGATGATACCCACCCTGTGGGGAGAAGGGTGAGAAGTGGGGGGAAAGGGGCACCTTGGGACAGGTGGATATAAAGGCAGAGACACTGCGGTAGGCCTGTCCCCATATATCTAGGTAATCTTCCCAAGAGCTCCATCCTGGGTATTAAGTACTCTACTATGCCTGTCACAGTTGAATTCCTGCTGTAATAAAACACCGGGTATATCGTAGATTTCAGCAAAATCAGGGAAGAAAGCCTGCAAAGTGCCATTTTTCTTCAAGGGGGAGAGTGTTAAGTACTTAATTCAAACTGTGACCATTAAAGTGTCTCCTATCCTATTTAGGTTGATTTCAGATGTTGACAAAACTTTTATCTCCAAAGTCATGCACAACTTGGCTCTGTGACTAAAGCAGATGAGTGTGTATTGAAGGGAGGGAGGGAGAAAAAGGGAGGGAACAGGAGAGCATGTGTAAGGGTCATTTTGTTAGGAGAATTATAGAGCTTACACAAAATACTGTCTTTAAAGGTCAAGGGTTTGAGGGGCTAGCATGGTTTGCCTTTAAAAAAGACAATTAATGAGATAGAAAATTTGTCCTCTCAGTGAACTCTTATGGTTGCCCTAGCAAAGGGCAGACAATGCAGGATTTTGAAACACAAAGTGAGATTTTTCCAAGCTGTTATAACAAGCTTCTTTTAAGGCCAAACATGAAGCAGACAAAACAGTGCAAAGAAATGGCATAATCATTTGGATTACTTCCGATGATTTTGGTTTTATAAACCTCACCAATACCTTAATAATCAATACATTTTGGGCAAAAGTGCCACTTTGTCCTGGAATATCAGAAAAATTATCTCAGTCCTCTCTTCCTTTTCTGGATATAAAAGCAAATGAAAGAAAGACATCCATTTTACCTCTATATCCAACATGGAGCTAAATTATCCAAACCCTTCCTCCCCACAAAGGAAATATAAGTATTTACCTTAAATGATGATAATCTGCCATTTGAGGTTTTGCAGCTTGACACTCAATTTCCACCAAGAGTTTAGGCTTTTTTTTTTTTTTTTTTTTTTTTTTTTTTTTAGCAGACAACCAAGATGCTGTATCTTTGCCTGAGACCACATTATTTGCAAGAAGATCCCTCTCTCCTTCACAGACTTTTCCCAGAGAATGCCTTTCAGAATTGCTGTTGAATTACAAAGAAGTATTTATTGTATGAGGTGATTAATGATTCCTGGGAAAATTGCTATTTTCAGCGTGATTTAATTTCGTTTTACAAGTGCGTGTAGTAGGGGGAGGGTTAATAAGTTTCAGCAGCAGTTGCACTGCTTCCAGAAAAGCCTGGCACCCGTTCACACCTTATAAAATGCACTTTATGCCAGTTTTCTTTTTTTTCTGACATGGTGTATTTGTTTGCCCCTGAATTTTCTTGACCCCTCAGAGACTGGTGCCTATCATTTTTCTCTCTCAAATCTGGTTTGTTTGTAGGTTAAGAACAGATCACCCCTGCTTATATCACACACAAGGCGGCAGGGGTGAAAGGGGTACCAGCACCAATACTGTACCCTGCTGATGGAAAATTAGGTTTAACAGTCCTCAGATGTTGTACAGGTAGGTGAACACCCGCTCCCATCTCTGTTACATTACTTCATGACCTAGAAACTTCACTTTTTCAAGGACAGATGACAGTTTTACTCTTCTTGCATCAGTATGCATCATCATCATTTCTGTATCTTTCTATAGGGTACTCTCTGCCTTGAGTGCAACCTGAACTCAGTATACAAATACTAGAGTTATAGAGATCAAGAAGTGAGTTTTAATTTTCAACCTTTGGATCTAGTTCTAGGAATTGAGAAGAAAGATCCCAAAACATTTGAGGAAAGTGACCCTCCTTTCAGAATTTGGCTTTATTCCAGCAGTGAATTCTTCCAGGTCTACTTTGCTTGAGGTACATTTTGGGGTGTCATTATGCTTTTATTTCCTCGGAAGATGTTTTGGAGGATGTACTGGGGAAAACCTCTTTTATTTTGAAAGCTCTTCTTTAATAAAAGAGAAACAAGCGAACAAAAATACTCAAGCTATACTTGGTGATGAGGTTCTTACAACCAGCCTAGAAACGAAAAGCAATCTCAACCCTTTGCACAAACTGTTTTTTTTTTTTTTTATCTCCAGGGAAACAGGCAGATTAAACGGGAAGGTGCAACAAATACCAAAGGGACCACTTCTTTCCAAGTGTGCTCAGAGTTCAGTGTGTAGAACAGCTGCAGAAACTCCTGGGCCCCTGCTGCACTGCATGGTTTCACCTTTCATTGCAGGGAAGGACACGTTTCTATGCCTTACAGAGACTTGAAACCTGAAATCCTGGCCAAGTTTGGGAAGAAGAGGAGCCCTCTCAGAGCTCAAGAGCCTTCCTGCTCTTTGGAACATTTCCACAGCGGGTCAAGCCTGACAAGAGTTCAACTCAAGTTGAAAACACACACACGCACACACACAAATTATGTGATCAGTCAGAATCTATGTTACACAGCTCAAGCCATCTACAAGGTTTTTACATGCAAGGGCAAACACTTCAATCCAGAAGTTTTTTTTTATTATTATTTTTTAATGAAAAGTTTAGGAAACACACATATCTTTTAGTTTTTAATGTTTTTTAAAACAAAGTTTATTCTTGGCACATGGCTTTCTATACAGCCATATCACAATTTATACAGTTGCACATGGATCTAAATGCATTCCCCTCTCCCTGGAGATTGTGCCCCTGAATAAGACAGTATCTCTTTAACAATATCTTAAATAAATGCAAGGAAGGGAAACTAATGGGCACACCTACCATCACACCTACACATTTTGAGAATTAAATAATCGTGTGAGGCCCACAATGTCCACTCATTTATTCAGTTCAATACACGGTTTGTATGAGCTGCCCTAATGGAGAAGGAGGAGGTAAAGAGGGTGGGAAAAGGTCTGTTTTCCTCTTGCAACAAATATACAAATACATTGTCTCCAGTCAGTATGTTATGTCCAGCTGACTTTAGACATCTTAAATATATGCGATACCAAGTAGTTCTTCTCAGGTATACAAACCCAGGCCAGCAGGTTGTGCCACCAAGCAGCAACCTGGACAAGTGTCCTCTCTAGGGTGGCAATCAGCACACACTCTTCCTGGGAGTAATGTCTTCTTTTTTGGTTATCCTTTTCACCAAGTTGGGCTTTGTTTTGGTGTCTGTTATGAACCAGATAGGGAGAGAGGGATGGAGAAATGGGCAGGAGCAGAGAGAAGAAAAACAGGTAAGGGACGGACAAGAAACTGACTAGGTCTCTAGAACATTATATGGAAGAGGGAATGGGTGTGGAGGAACCAGGAAGAGAGTGAGGATGAGGGTGTGGGCTCTGAGTTTGTGCTTTTCCTGGAGGGCCAGCAGAGGTTGAGGCCGGGTTGGAGGTTCGCATCTTGGTGTTGGGCAGTTTGTGATCTTTCTTCCACTTCATTCTCCGATTCTGAAACCAGATCTTGACCTGGCGCTCAGACAAGCAGAGAGTGTGGGCGATCTCGATGCGGCGGCGCCGGGTCAGGTAGCGGTTAAAATGGAACTCCTTCTCCAGCTCCAAGACCTGCTGCCGGGTGTAGGCTGTTCGAGAGCGTTTGGGCTCCCCTCCATTATAACTGGGATTGACTGAATGCCCAGAACCCCGAAGAAGAAGGCCAAGGAGGAGGAAGTGGAAGAGCGGGAAAGGAGGAGGAGAGAGAAGATAGGGTGGGGAAGAGCAATTGGACATCATCATTATATAATAACCTGACATCAAGTTCACGCAAGATACATAAAACGGCAAAGAAAATGTTTCACAGGCTATTGACAACGGGAAACACCCGAGAGCCATAAAGAATGGTGCTGGGCATTGGGGCTGAAGAAAAGCTTCAAAGACACATGGCCCGAAGCCTCTGCCAGGGCAATTAAATTTATGGGGGCTATAATTACTGCCCTAACAGTTTGGCGTCTCGTAAATCTCCCGATAAAGGGACCCTGGGTACAAAAGGGTTCTCACGTTTGGATCAGGCTGCAGCCTGGCGCGCACACACCCCTATCCCCCAGCAGCCGGGGCCAGATGGGGGCTCCCCTCCTGAGGCCCCCTTCCCCGGGCCTTTCGCTCCTGACCCCGGTCCCGACCCTCCAACCCTGGTCTGGCCCCAGCCCACCCTTCCGCCCCTCCCCAGCGGCGCCACATACCGGCGCTGACATGGATCTTCTTCATCCAGGGGTACACCACGGGCTCCTTGCCCTTCAGGCCCGGCGGGCTCTTGTCGGCCAAGAGCAGCGGGCACGCGGGGGCGCTGCCCCCTGTAGGGACGCCTGGAGTGGCGGGGGCTGCCTCGCAGCGCCGCGGGGGCGCAGGGGGCGCAGCACGGTGTTGCGGGGGAGGTGGTGGCGGGGGCTGCCGCCCAGGTTGCAAAACTTGGCTCGCGTGCAGGCCGTGCGGCGCCGGGCCCTTGGCGTGTGCCATGGGCTGCTCCGGCTGTGGTGGCCGCCCGGGGCTAGCGCCGCCGCGGTAGCCATAGGGGTAGGCGGCGTCCGCGGCACCGTGAGTGGGGTAGAGTGCGGCCGCGGGGTAGGCGGGCTCACGGGCGGCCCGCGGCGCGTAGTAGGAGGCAGGGGGTTCACGGCTGCCGCCTGCGTGAGGGAGCTGGGGCTGCTGCTGCGGCAGGTGCTGGGTCGCGGGCGCCGGGGGCTGCTGGTAGCCGGGGCCCCCGCCTGGGCCGCCGTCTCCGCCGCCCGGGCCGCTGTGCTGCGCGTACTCCTCGAAGGGAGGGAACTTGGGCTCGATGTAGTTGGAGTTTATCAAAAACGAGCTCATGGTCATTAATTTGTGAAGTGCAAAAATACTAATTTTTCTCGCGTTGTCGTTTTTCTGGGCTCGCTGAGGCCCCTCCCCCTCTTGCCTCGCTTCCCATCCCCCCTTCCTCTGCGCCCTTCCCCTCCCCCCGCTGTCAAGTGCCCACCCCACCCCCTCCCGCCGACGCCACCACCAAAGTTCGCGCCGCTCCTCCCCCCGCGCGCGCGCCTTCCGCCTCGGCCCCGCGCGCGCTCCGCCCCGCGCCCCACGTGCAACTCCCCCACCAATGGGCGCGCCGCGCGCGCGGACCCGGATCAGGAAACGCGCGGGTGGGTGATGGATGCCACTGCCCGGCCCAGGGAGGGGGAGTGAGCAGGGGCTTTGGTCCTCCAGCCCCCCAATTTGGATTACCGCAGGGAATTCAGGGCCTGTCAGGCTGTAGCTCCCTTGGGCCCCGCGAATGCCCTACTTCTAGCCTAGGCCCCAGGGCAGACTCAGCGCTGATTTCCAGCCCAGTCAGGCCCCGCGTCCTCCAAGGTTCGAGGCCCGCTGCGGGAGGGAAAAGGCGTCGACACCAAGGGGCATCCTGTTTTTTATCATGGCACTGGAATAAAATGAACGTGGCCGACCGACAAATTTTCCCACCCGCTTATTCCTTTCCTACACCCTGCTGACTCGTCCCTATTTTGAGAAGACTGGCAGGAGCTGCAAAGGTTGGGTGTGTAGCTGAGAAATCTACACAGGGGTGTACAGCGAAGCCATTCCAGTGTAATCGGACAGACATTTCTTATTTTTTCCTTTTAAGACAGTCTGTTTTGTTTTTACCTTATTAAAAACAAAACAAAACCCACCTTTCTAATAGCATCTTATTTGATGGAGGGGTCAACCTAAGAACTAAACACGCGTGAGTTGACGAAGTGCGATTGTGCAGTCAGACGACGGCTCAAGGATAAGAATGGATAGAAGCAACACTTCCATAAAACCGAGCTTTGAAACAAATAACTTCCTATTTCAGAACAATCCCCAAATAAAAGCAAGCTTAAAATAGAATAAGACCTTTGCCAGATCTGATCCCCAGGGGTCTTTTCCAGCTAAGAATTTTGTTTTCTCTTTTGGATGCTGCTTTTTCAGGCTGTAGCTGAGACTAGAGTTATATTTACAGAACAATCTATAATTTCTGAATTGCTGAAAATTAGCATATTAACGATATCAGTAGCTCCGGAAAGGAGGGAAAGGGACTGTTGCCTGCCATTTGGTAATTGAAATTTGATGGGTAAACTAATTATGCCATTATTAACAAATAAAT